CACCAGGTCTTTCATCCATTTCCTCCTGAAACTCACTACTCACAGCCACAATAAAAGATTCTGGTTTTCTACTCCCTGCACAAACATGCAAGCTAACTCCACGTATCAGTCTGAACACATGTTCATGTGTTTGTGTGGGGGGGAGGGGTAAGCTGATTTGATGTAGTCACAAAACCTTTCCTAAAGGACAAGACTGAGGAGAAAAGTAGGTAGGGGAAGACATTGGTCACTTCTGCTTAGGTTATCTGCCCCTGGTTCAATGCTTTGGGGAAGTGGGGGGGGGGTTCCTGCTTCCCCACAGCATCATGGTGTATTTGTGTACCTCCTGGGGGTTTCCCTGGCTTTTTTGATCTTTCTCAAACATGGTTTGATTCAAAGTTTTGGGAAAGATCACAGTAAAGCCTGGATAGCTACTGTGTAGGTGAGAATATTCTGATTTTTCCACCCACGTCAGCTACTTCCTCTTACCCTGTCCCCATTTCTTCACCTTACCTCCAGGGAGCTTTTAATTTTTTTAAAAAATGGCACCAGAATATCATTAATTCAATACAACATTATACCAATATGCATACCAAGTTCTCTGAATTCCCAGTTGGGAGGGAGGGAGGGAGGGAGGGAAGGAAGGAAGTTTCTAGTCCCTTATGTTGCAGAGATACAAGGTTAAAGGCATATCTTTGTAATGGAAGAGGCTAGAGATGTACTTTTAAAAGAAAAAAAGGAATGATAGGAATTCAGAGACCCTGTTACACATTTTTGTAATGGTACATTGCTGTAACGACATTCAAATGCTGATTTATTTTTAAACAATTGAAAAAGCTCTAGTGGTCCAGGGGAGGGCGAATGGCCACTGTTGGGGGGGGGAGGTTAGGGAAACTGTAGGAAACCTGCCATATAGAAGCCCCATTGCTGTTGCTGCTGTTTTGGCAGCCACACCGACAATGGGATATCACACAAGCCCATCCCTGTGTGGAAAGCACCACAGAGGCACAGATTGCCTTTAAAACAGAAGGATGAAATAGTGTTCTTCCACATTTGAAAAATCAAGCATCAGACAAAAGCCTTAGAAAAACAGAACAGAGTGATGTGAGCTACATCAATCAGGTATTCTGCTGTCAGCAGACCATTGAATTCAGGGTTATGAGTATTACACACATCAAGTACAGACACAAAATCTAAAAATCTGGCACAGACCTTACCATCATGAAATGCTCCAGTTTTCGGTTTTTAAAATCCAATGAGCCTGTAACCCCTACAGGAAAGCTGTATCTTAGAAATAAAATGAATTGGGCAGATTACTAATGTATATTTGCTTAATTTGCACAGCCTCCTCTGAATAGAGAAAATTGGATATTCTGCAATGGAGCTCTGGCCTGCATTTGAAAGGGGGATGGAGATATTAACATTTTTTGTAGAATACAACATGAATTGTTGGCCTCGTGCAAGTTACTTCTCTTAACAAGCTGGGGACATGAAAAGAACTGGGGGGGGGGGGGTTTTTTTTGCAAATTCTGCACCATGCTTCAGTATCTTCCTTTCCAGAACTTTCTCCTCTCCCTCCCCCCCCCTTTCCCCTTAAAGTAACTCTCAGTTTTTCCAGCATTCCAATCTTCTGGAGCATAGCTGTCCCCAGCAATTTCACTAAATTGATTAAAAAAAAATTTAAATGAATACCTGGGGAGTCCTCTCTACATATGTAGAGACTCTCCTGCGTCTGTGGGTGGCCTTGGCCTTGCTGTCTTCATCATCTGCACAGGGTCCAGCTACTTCACGATTAGATACAGTGCACGAATGCTTCAAATACGTCCCCTCAATGCAATTGACAAAGATTAATTCTGGAGTTGTATTATGGAAGAGTAAACTGAGTCAGGGACAGGCTGGTGACTCCTCTTAAGCTACAGAAGTGAGAAGCAAAGAAAGCCAAGGGCAGAAGCAAAATCTCCTACTTTCTCTCAGGTTGCTTAAAGTTATCTCAGTAAAGGAGGCAAAAACAATGGAAGACCGAAATCTATCTTCTCTGCAGTGGCTCTGGGGTTATGGAATTTGCTTGTCATCGGATTTCATAAATGTCCCCCCACGTACAGCTTTTAAAGGGGGGGGGACAGCAAGGCTGTTTTCTTCTGAAAGTTTTGGGGGTTAACTGAGGTTTATTTTGTCCGTGCTGTTTAAAATATAATTGCATATTTTTATTTTAGTTTGATATGACATGCAGGGCATTTTTATTATTGCATGCTTTATTTATGCTGTAAACCACTTTGGAGTATGAATAAAGGTGGAATATAAATCTTTAAAACAGTTCAACTTGATGCTGTCAGGAAAAATGACTTCTACAGCTCCCCCTGAATTTTCTATGCACAGTTCTGAGCATTCAGCACTTTATGCATTGCCTCATCCATTGGTCAATAAAAACAGTTATCCTTGCAAATCAGAAAGCCAGTGCAGTAAAAATAAATCCCCCAGTTTAAGTATATTAGTATATTCTAACATGTATTTTAATGCAGAATTGTGGGTGCTTTTGTCTATGAAGGAAAGATACTTCTCTATACCACCACCTTTTGAAGACTCAGTCAGAATTCTCAAAAGTTCTTAGATGTTTGACTCCTTAGTCTAGTGAGCTAGCTAATAAAGACTCAGAAACAGTTCAGCACTGAGATTCCGCACAAATATATACACATCAATTCAGACCAAAATTGGCTCCAGAAGAACGGCTTGCAGACTGGGATGACACACAAACACACACACAGTTTCCTAAAGTGAAATCAGATTAGCTGTAAGAATGGATTCTATGCAATTAAAACAAATACAGTAGTCTATCTAGTTGCACACAGATTTTAATTAAGATGGGGACAGCAAGATTTCAGGTCACCTCCTTGATCTGGAGATCAAGGTTGTTTAAAAAAAATCTTTACATCATCAGCAAAGTTATTACCAAAAGGAAACTTATTAGAATCTTATCAAGACCCAGCAGTGGGGAAGACTCAGAAGTAAATGATGCTTCTAGGAAAGTATCAGTGACCGGAAACTAAAACAAATGACCACCTAATATAAAGGTCACTGCTGTAGCCCACAAGTCACATCAATCCTCGTTCTATTTGTTTGATGCCTCTTACACATCACAATGAGACTTCCTTCCAAAGACTAACAGTCAGCCCTGGAAAACAAGTGCCTTCAGAACTGTGACATGGAGCCGACCACCTGTCCAACCGTAAACCTGTCCACTTGGAAGATCAACCTAGGCAGCACAATCCTATCCATGGTTCTTCAGAAATCAGTTATTTAATTTGAGTTAGTTGGGGCTTAAGCATCCACAAGAAGAATCCCACTGACTAAAATGCAGAAAGTTTCGATTTTATGGAGGGCTTCTCCCCCAGTTTATATAAAATACGTGTCTAGGTCCTTAAACAATAGAGGCTTTTAAGTGTGTATTTTTTAAAAACCACACTAGACAAGCAAAATAGACTTTTTTCACATTGGAATTAAACAAAAAACCAAAATTTTGAATGCCCTCTCCCCAACCTCAAGAACACCCAACCATGCTGATAGGTTTAGGGGCATATGCCAAAAGTCTCCTTTTGGGTGTTCTTGAGGTGAAACAGAATTATACAGTCTCCAATAAACAGGTCTACTAAGAAATAAGTCCCATCTTATTCAATGGGACATACTCTCAGGAAAGTGTTCTATGGCTTGTAGCCTTAGTTCTTTTTTACCACATTTTATTCACAATCCCTTTATAACATCATTTATTCACAATTATCCAACCATTGACTGTGCGGCTCATTTGAAATCTATGAGGTCACTTAAATATATCCAGACTATCCCCCCCCTCCTATGGAATGTACATCATTTTGTAAATACAAAAATGCTGCATGGCTAAGAAGATGCAAGGTAGTGTTTTATTTTTGGTTCATTCTGGGATGGTTGGGGGGGGGGGTTAATCCAGAATCTTAACAAAGGGCTTCCAAGAAAGTTGAAGCAAGGCACATTATTCAGTTCAAATGCTGCAGTCCACTACGTGAGGTTTGTGCACGTTAATTTTAATGTGCAGTCTCAAAGTACAGAAATCGGGGCATTTCCAGCATCATATTTAAAACATGGTAGATTGAACTAATACGTGATCTGGGGCATTAATGAGGCAAATTAAGTTACAGGTATGAATTTTACATTAAATGGATTAATATTATATGGCATGGAGGAATTTTAAATACCCTACCGCCATGAATTTTTAATAGCTATGTGCTCTAATTTAATGTTGCAAGGCAATTGCTTTTCTTAAGCACTCCCGCCCCCCCAACCCCATCCCCAGCAACTTCTCCGCGTCCAAGTCTGGAGATGATTATTGCCTGCGAAAATACCCCGAGTGTCAAAAAAAATAAGGCCGAGGAGGGAGGGGGATGCCAAAGGTATGAAAACGCATGAGACTAGAGAAGCTGCCATCTCCCACCGTCTCTTCCGGGGACTTGCTGGTGAAGTGACAATTAAGGAGCCTGAAAAAGAAAAAGGCTGTTTTTGTTGTTGTTGTTTTTTTTTAAATAAAGAATATGATAGCAAACGGCCATTGCTGCTTCTCGTCTTCAGAGCTACCCCGATCACGGGAAGAGGAGCGCCGGGCATTGCGCAGGGCTCTAAGTGCCGCTGGGGATAACATGCTTCAAGCCACAGGCGAGCGAGAGTGAATTCCATTCGCATTCCCGCAGTTCTTCATTAGGAACTTCTTCCCCCCGCTTCCCTCCCCAGCCCCTCGGATTCGACAGCTTGCCTTTCTCCCAGACCCTACACGGCGCTTGACAGAATGGAAGCCGCTCGCTATTGGCTAGAGCGACGTTCCACGGAGGAAACCGCCTCTCCCGATTGGCTAAAGCGCGGCTCTCTTCGCTCAGGCTTCCCCCTTTTTTTCCCATGCCCATCACTCCTCCCTTTCTCTTGTGTCTCGTCCACCCCCCCCCCCCCCCCACCGGTTTTTTTCCCCCCGCCCCGGGCGGCGCGCGCGCCCCGCCCCGCCTGTACCCCGTGCTATATATATACGCCGTGCGGCGATGCAAACTGGGCTGAGCAAAGGCGGTGGGGCTCGGAGTAGGAGGTAGGGAAGGCAGGGTAGGCAGGGTGAGCGAGTGGTAGCCTGTGTTGCCGGGCGGCGGCGGCGGCGGGGGAGATTAGGATTTTTTTCCCCCGGGGGGATTGAGTGCAAATTTCCTCCTCTCCTTCATTTTTGCCCCCCTAAATCTTGCCCCTTTTGCAAAGCCCGGAGATCGTGTGCACGCCGAGGTCCGGTCAGCGAGCGCCGCTGCCTCGCCTCTTGCCGGCTGGCACTGCGGGTGGGAGCTGCCGAGCCCCGGCGCTGCCCGAGCGGGCTATCTCTGCCTGCCTTTGCGCCATGAAGGCGGTGAGTCCCGTCCGACACCCGAGCAGGAAGGCGCTGTCTGGAGGCTGCTGTTGCGGCGGCGGCGGCGGCGGCGGCGGCGAGCTGGCTCTGCGTTGCCTGGCCGAGCACGGCTGCTACAAGGGCGGCGAGGAGGAGGCGGCGGCGGCGGCGGCGGCGCTGTGCCTCCAGTGCGACATGAATGACTGCTACAGCCGCCTCAGGAAGCTGGTGCCCACCATCCCGCCCAACAAGCGGGTCAGCAAAGTGGAGATCCTGCAGCACGTCATCGACTACATCCTCGACCTCCAGCTGGCCCTCGAGACGCACCCGGCGCTGCTCCGGCAGCAGCAGCAGCAGCCGCCGCCCCCGCTGCACCCGGCCGGGCCTCCCCGGACCCCGCTCACGGCGCTCAACGCGGCTGACCCGGTAAGAGCCGCCCGCCGCCGACGGGACGGGGAGGGCTGGGCTGGGCTGGGCGGCGGGAGGAGCGCCTCGCACGCTTCGCACTCGGCCCTTCCGGCGCCCGTGGATGGAGAAGGGTCCCCCGACTGGACTGGGAGGGTGACGTCGCGCCCTCCTCCTGCCCCTGACGCCTCGCCGTCCCTCCGCGGGACGTGGCTCCTGTAGGGGCCACCCAGTGCCCCGCCCTGGCCATCCAGCAACCTGTTAAGCCGAAGTGCGTCACGGAGAGGTGCTGGGCTCGGTTCTTCGGAGGGGGTACGATCGCTCCTCCTGGGCACTGCGATCCTCAAGACAGTCAAGGCGGAGCGTGTGGTGTCCTTTCTCCCTTTCCTTCGAGCCCTTTCCCCTTGGGTGCTCTCTCTTTCAGATCCTGAGCTTTGGCCATTGTCGGGGCACGGGGCGAGAAAGCCAAAGGTGTGCACAAAGGCTCTTTGATCTGAGTGGGGTGTCAGTGCATTTCCTCAGATCCAAGCAATATGGGTTATGGATTGGAAGTTAGATGTTCTAATTCTGATTTTAAAGAGCACACGTAATTAGTTTGCCTAGGTCTGCTTGTGGGTGTGATAGAGGGACATACCTACGCAGACAGAATATAAAATGCAGTAACGTGCAACATTGTGTGCGTGTACATCTACACAGACTATACACTTGCCTGGCATTGTCCTTCGGGAACTGTTCATACTGCATATGTATACAACATAGGTGTACCATTAATAATAGGCATGCAAGGAATCATGTTCAGCTTTCGCATGGGCTCAGTGTAGTACAGTTCTTGGCCAGCCTTGCATTGCCAATTACATTGTGTTGAAGTCGTTTCCACCAGGGAAGATGAACTGGCTTCTACGCCAGTAGCCAACAGAGATCCAGATGTGCTTCTGGCTGCACATCTGCATTGATGTTCAACCCCAGGGCCCCACAGAACAGGCCAGGTAAATCTGTTCGAGTGGCTGGAGAGAGAAGAGATGCCACTCGTTGTTATTGTGTGCCTGGAGCTGGATTGGGGCCGTTGTGTTTAGGAAGAAACAGGGAGGAAGACTTTAAACCCTTTGGAAGGGGACATAAAATAAAACAACCTTAGGGCATGTGGGAATAGCCTCGCTCTGCTCCATAATCCACCACCCCACTGTCAGCATTGGCTCAGGAGTGTTGTGCCAGGGTCTCAGCAAGGACTCCCACAGCTCCATGGGATCTCTGAATTCCGACTGTCAGCACCTTGTGTGGCACCAGGTGCAAGCAGGGGTTCCCTGTGGGTCTATGGAGTGAGAGGCTGTCACACTCGGCCGCTTGCAACCTGTCGCTAACTGCTCATCCCGGAGGAGATCCATGGAGAATGGTGCTCTGGGGGCTGGCGGCTCCTTGCCGCTCTCTCCGTCCCTGGGTGGGGTTGCCTTGGTTTTCCTCTCTTCCAGGGCTTCTCAGTGTTCTGGAGAAGCTGCAGCCGGCCAGGCAGGGAAGGTTGTTTATGACAAAGCTCATTACTTGCCCTCATGCTAATGTCACTCCTGTTCTGTTGTCGCGCAGGCTGTTGCTGTCAATAAGCAAGGGGACAGTATTCTGTGCCGCTGAACTGCACTTTCAAGGTGAGTATCGCCTCTGGCAGGGCTGGGGACCTGGTTGCCTCTGGCATCTCTAAGCTGTGCCCTTTGCACTGGGCGGCCTCTAGCCCAGACTGCCACCCCAAGTACCTTTGCCTGGAAGTAAGTCCCATCAAACACCGTGAGGTTTACTTTAGGGTAAATACAGTTAGGCTTCGGCTGCTGTCTTTCTTGCAAAACAGTTTGCCTTGGGGACCCCCTGCCCCAAATTCTTGAGTATGCTTTAGGATTTGCATGCATGTACAACATGTAGAATTAAGAGGCTGAGCTGCAGTCCACGAACGGGTTCAGCTGAAGCACTTCAGTTTAAACTGATGTCACCCCATTTGAGTCCTCTAAGTGTAACGTTTTTGTGACTCAGGCTGGTATCTTGGTTTGAATCACATTTTCTGCGTAATCTTCACCTTAACTTCCACGGGGCAGGGTAATGTATATAAATGTATAATGTGTGTATATGCAGAGGCCAGGATAAATAAAGCCTGCCAGTATCTTTCAGTGGGTGTCTAAGAGATACAGATACACACACACAAAAAGGCTACATATTCAAGCTTTAACTGGTTCACAGATCCGACTGGCTCCTCTGCATGTTCCTTAGGAGTTCCTTCCCACAAAAGCAATGAATAAACACATTGTTATGGAAATACTGCCGGGTGCCTTAAATGGATTCTTCTTTGGCTGTGTTCCTTTGCCCACGTACTTGGGAGTTAATCCCATTGAACTTGGTGGGATTTACTTCTGCGTAAATGTGCCGGCGTTTAATTTTCCTGCCCGGGTGCCTGATGCGCAGTAACAGAGGTGGACGGGAACGCTGGAAAAGCCCTTTGAAAAACTTCTTTCTCTTCCACTCTCTGGAAAGCTTCTGGCTTGGGCTTGCAGCTGTGTCTTCCCCCTGCTTGGCCTAGCCTGAGAGCTGCGGTTGTTGTTTGACCTGGTTTGTTTTGGGTTGTTGATCAAGCATGTCTTCTGTTTTGTTGGTGGCGCCAGTCAGTCTGGAGCAGCATGGTTCACACCCCCCCTCTATTCATTCCTCTTCCACAGGTGTGCAGCAGGCAGATCCTGAGCCAGAGAAGCAGAAAGAAAGACACATTAGGAAGGGTGGGAGGGAGAGAAAGAAAGATCAGCCACTGGGCAAAAGGAAAAAAAAGCATTCGACTTCTCCAGAATTCTTTCCATACTTCTTTTAGCGAGTGAGAGAGAATTTTTCACGACTTTGCACGTTCATAACATTTTACACGCGCATCTCTTTTTTGTTTGTTTGTTTGAAATCAGATGTGAACTGTATACTTGTCTTGGAGGGTGGGGGTTGAAATCTTTGGCATAAGTATGGCTCTTCTGTTGGACGGAAGATCAAGGGCAAATTGGGAGTTTTTAGAAGTCTAATGGGCTGAACAGCTGAAATCTGAAGCTTTACTAATCTACCAGAGGCACTGTAGATAACTTTTTTTCGATTTGTTGACATCTATTGTTTAAAATAGATGGTTTTATTGTTTCCTTTGGGGACTTTATGCTCCCTGCAGGAATGTTACATATTGTATAGAATACAAAAAGAAAAAAAAGGGAAGAAAAATGAGTGACATTTCATACTATGTATATAGAGAGGTTCTATACGTGTGAGAAAAGTATATGCTTTAATAGACTACTGTAATTATAAAATATTTTAATTAAATATTTTTTGTAAATATTATAAAGCTGTGTATGTTTTTTTTAAAAAATCCATGGGAATACTTCCCTAGGAAAACTATTTCTGGCTTAAGTGCAGAACTGCTGATATGAGAGGATACTGGATGTCGAGGGATGTCTCAGTTCCCTTTCTGCCCTTCATTTCCCCTTAGAGTTGGAAGCGACAGCTGTAGCCAGGGTTGGTCCTGCATGAATGCATGAAATGTCTACCCATAAATAAAACTTGTTCTGAGTCCATACAGATGTGTTTTCTTTAATCTGAATTAAAAGATGTTTGTATCATACAGTTTTGAAATGACCATTTTTGTCCATTAGGCGCAAAGGGTTTCTATTACCTTATATGCAGAACTGCATTGAGATGTAAGAACTTTGGGGTTTTGTTGGCTTGTTTGTTTTTATCTGGAATTACTACTTCTCCCCCCCCCCCCCAAATGGGTACAGTGCTGAGGTACAACAAGCATTTATACAATCTCTTGTTGCCTGAATAAAAACCATGGAGCGTTTTGCTGTGTGGCATATTACTCTAGGGGAGAAGAGAGAGAGAAAAAGTAAGAACCATTGTCTGCTTGTAACCAAAGGGCAAAACTATTAACAAATGTACAGTTGTTTCTTTCATCCAAAGAATATTGATGCTGAAACTTGGAATAGGGTGGGACAACAGGGAGAATTTCAGTCTTGATTGCGGGTGTAAATTGCAAAGAACTTACATAGACCAAAAAATAAAAAATAAAAATCAGATAACTGTATCAAGATTATTTTTCTAATATACAACAGCTTTCATTTCATTACAGCTCTGTTACAGCTGAAAATCCTGTTCTAGTGTCTGTTGTGTGTAATTTCTACATGTAAACATTAAACTAGATTGACGTGCCTTTCTGCTGTGATTTGTTTCTTTCTTTTTCTGGTACTTATCAAACTGTGTACATCCGCTTCCCTTTTCTTTTTTCCCCCTGTGGCATTGAATGGTTAATCTTACAGCAACAATTCATAGAGTCATGCCTTTTTTTCCCCTTCCTTCCTTCCTTCCTTCCTTCCTTCCTTCCTTCCATCCTTCTTTTTTTTTAACTTTCTGTCCCAGGCTCTGAGAAAGTTACACATTTTGTGTGATTATCAGTAGTCTACACACCAGCGAGATGGGATTTTCGCAAAGAGGGTGAATTAAGTAGGATTTAATTGGGCTCTTTGTAAATAGTTAGCCAACTGCATGTGTGTGTGTGTGGCATGGTTTGCTTGATTATAGGAGTGGGGGGAGTTGGAGGATTTGTTTCAGATTATAGAAAGTGTCAAAAGTACTCTCACCCAGAGGACCTTTTTATTAAGTTAAATATTTATGAGGAAATGAACTCACTAAAGTCATTTAGCTATTGAGTACTGTGTTAACGTGTCAATAAGATGGCTGCTTTCCTCCATCAAAGGAATTAAGCACTGAGACGGTGTTAGCCAAAACATTATCTGACATGTATAGATATGGGAGGCTTTGTGGGGGGGGGGGGGAATCTCCTGAATGACTGGCATTGACATTTGTAAAAGCTTAGGCACCTGAGCTGAAATATGTGTTACCTTAGCCTGATGCTGTTTGAATGGGTTTAATGAACAAAACAGCCTCCTCCCCCTCCACTTTTATAAAACGGAGGTTCTTGGGAATGAAGAAAATCTGAATGAACGATGGTTTATTCAGTGAGAGGCATAAAAGGCTACTTAGAGAAATGCTGTTAATTCAATTTCTCCTCCTCCTGCGCTCAAAAGGAGAAAAGATTTCAAGCAAGCCTTTTTCTGCTGAAGCGTCTGCAGTGTATGTAGGCTTGGGTTTGGTTAAGGTTAAAGACCGGCACTGGTGTCCTTATGAATGAATTATGATTTGGCTGGAAAAGTATTTTTGCGGCAAAGTGATTATTCAGGGAGACCTTGGGTTTTACTGTGACCTTCCCGCACCTCTTGACTCCCAATCTAAGGGCAAGAGGAGCACTGTTATCCTGTGACATACAGGAGCACATTTAGCAGAATTCTAACAGTCTTTGTGCATATTTTGCATGGTGTCTTCAAGCCTGCATCCTGTATCCTGCTTAGAGTAGAAAGTCTCTTAGGGCATTTTCACAAGTGACCCTACATGTGTTGCATGCAGTAAAAGAGTTGTATGCAGGTGAGTGCAGTCTAGTGAACCGAAGGTCGGTTTTCATTAGAACGCCATCCGCGCCACCGTACCCTAGTGCTCGATTTACATATCAAGGGAATGGTGCAAAAAAAAGAGATCCAAGCGGCATTTCTGAAAGTGACCTTGCTCTGTCCAGCTCTAGAAACTGTTTCCCCATCTCATTAGCTTCAATTAAAAAGACAGTGTCTGAAGCTATCTTAGTGCTGTCATGTTCTGAAGGCCACCTTCTGTGCCACTCAGCTTGATGGTTATCACCGCCTTGCATAGTGACATTGAAAGTGGGAGAAGTTTGACTGCGCTGTTAGAGCAGCGTTCATCAGCCAATGGAATCCAGGGCTCCTGTGATATTGTCGTCAGGCAGCAAAGGACCAACTGTGGAAAGACCCAACTTAGGAACTAGTCTTTAGAGTGAAGTGACAATTTGATTACTGGAATGCTTTTATTTGTGATTTGCAGTAAGTGCTTAGTAGATTATTGCACATAATTCATCTGATGCACATTCTCAGCTTCTTGTAAAATAGCTGTTGGATAATTGCTTGATTAATTTGGAATAACCAGACTCTTAACTGACATGCCATTTAATGCCTAAAGGGTGTGATAACAGTTTCCTAGGATGTTAGCGCACAGTTAAAGACTAAAGATTTAGAATGCACGTATTAGTCACTGTCCTGAGTTTCCTTTATGCTGTAATGCAGTTAGTAAGAAAAGCATCAGGATTTGCTTACTCATGAAGCGGAGGACTTACTTTCCAAAAGTGTAGGCCAAAGTGTAGCTAACATCCTTCTAAACCCACTGGCTTCAGTAGACTTGGAAGGGGTAACTGTTTAGGATTGCACTGTGAATCTAGTGATTTCTATTGTGGCTTTTTCACACTTGTAGTCCTTTCCCCCCCCCTTTCTAAAATTAGACATATCCTAAATGGATTTACTTAAAAGTAAATTCCATTAATTTCAATTCAGTGTACAGCAAAGTCCCTGTTTGGGGATGGGGCAAGGGAATTGCACATATTTGATATAAATAATTAATGGCAACATTTCAATGACCCGCACATCACCAGGATCTTTTTTTTGGGGGGGGGGGTCCTCCAGTTTTAAAACTGAATTTATGAAGTGTTTCAAAATCTTCATGACCATTGATGATTGTCCAGTGAGAAAGGGCAGGCAGCTTAAGATATTTGGATTCCATGTCTAAATCTACTTCAAGCAAACAAATGTATATAGACAATATCCATGAGAGAAAACCCTTTCCTGGCATTGTTTTCCCAGCAGGGGGCAGTATTACCCAGTCCCTCTTGCCCTAACATTTAGGTTCTCCCCGACTTAAGTACCTGGCCACTCTTAAATGGCAGCATTCTTAGAGGGGGTGGGGGGAGGCTGGTATGCATACAATCACTCAGTGTTTGCTGAAACATTTTGCACCAAGCCCTGAATAATGATGCCACAACAGCAAGGCTCCTGCGGACAATGCCAATCAGATGTGTTTATCACTCTGAGACTCAATTGGAGCAGGGGTCTAGATAAAATTCTAGAGCCATGGCTCACAAAGTCATCTGCAGCAATGCGAACCTTTCCACGTATGTGTGAAATATTTGCAGAGGAGTTGACAAAGACACTGTCTTAGAATTTCACAACCGGGAAACAAAAGCCACATTAGCCATGGGGATGGAGACTATTTACTTTGTGTCTAAGATCCTTTGAATTCAGTAGGGCTTACTTCCAAGTAACTGGGCATAGGATTGCAGTGTTTAGTTTAATATCAGATCAGAATTTACATTCAAACAGATCTTCCTCTGCATTTTATTCTTGGCAAGGAAAATGACTGTGAAGAAGGATATTTACTTAACTGATCCATTTGTACCCCACCTTTCTCCTCAGTGGGAAGAAGGATATTTACTTAACTGATCCACCTTTCTCCTCAGTGGGGACCCTAAGCAGCTTGTATCTTTCCTCCCATTTTATCCTCACAACAACCCTGTGAGGTAGGTTAGGCTGAGAGAGTATGAGTGGCCCAAGGCCTCCCAGACAGCTTCCATGGCACTAGTGGGGGTTGAAATCTGGGTCACCCAGATACTAATCCGACACCGTTAACCACTACAGTGCACTGGCGCCCTCTGGATACTAGACAGACAGTATGAACAGGGTTTCCTGTTTGCTGATGGTTTGTTCACAGAATGCCAGTGATTAACTGTTCTGTCGCTGTCTTTAGATTTCCCTAATAAAAGGCAAAAGCAAGATTCCGATTGCATCCTATTTGAATCACCAAAAAACGATACAAGTCTGTTAGTGCCAAAAGATAGGGTCATGCTCCCTGGATTCTGCCGGTTTGACTCCTGCTGAGAAGAGACTGTTTGCAGTTTATTTCTTACATTTTACTTTTCCTCCACTGGGGAACTCCAGACATTCTCCATAGGGCAGGTGTGGGGTTTTCTAGCCAAGCACTGACCAGACCCAGTCCAAGACTGCTGTATGATGTTCCTTCAGACAATGTCCTGGACCTAAACCAGTGTTGGATATACCCTGACAATAACATTGGTGGGCACTGTAGACCATTATTGAAAACTTACAGAATGTAGTGTTTTGAATTTCCAGGAAGTATTGTGCCAGTATAAAATTATTTTGCTGCTTCCATTAATGTGCATTAATATTTCAGTGTTGTACGTCCCATTACACAAATCATTTCCAAGTAAGTTCTCTGTTTGCAAACTTAGTAGTACAAAAACCGTCCAGAATGTTCACATTGGTTAGATTTATTCATAAAGTGATATTCCAAATCAGTGCATTGACTATTGCCCTGCTACTTAGACTGAACATGGCACATGGTTCCAAGTATAAAATGTTTCCATAACTTTTTTT